CTAATCAGTTTTTTATATATAAAATATTGTAAGGATGTTTACGAGGATGTTCACAAAACTTATTTAAGTTTCTTAACAAATAAAGTTTTAGGATCCAGGTGATATACATGTATAAGTAAAATATCTACTGGGTGCAAGGATCAATGCGTAGCAAACTCAACAAACAAAATTTTCTTATTGAGACTATAGCTTTCCAAGCTTCGAGATATGAGTTGTGGTAAGAGCGTGATGAGAGAAGCCATCAAGAACTATCTCACTCCCATCGGTACATTTTCCAAACCATTCACAAATTAATAAGCAACCACATCATTTTCATTCAGCTTTGATCTAAATGAAAGCATCAACGACCTGGAACGCTAGCTTCCGTCACTTGAATTGATCGGCTTATCTCCAAGTAGTTGTGCTCTGTTTTTGTCTCAACAATGCTTTACTATTTTTTTTGTTCAAAACTTTTCCCACTACTTTAATTATTCATTTTCTTGTGATCACATTAGAATAAAAAAAAAAACTATTTGTTGTGAAAACTTCTTAGAAACTTTATTAATCATTGGAATGTATATATAGAGTACATAGGGAATCTTGGTTAAGTACAATGCCCTGATGGGCCTAATGGGCCGGTATAAGAGTCCATATATGATATGTGTTATAACACTCCCCCTTGGACGAGTGAACCGGGTCAGCTACTCAATCGGGATCTCGATAATGCGCTGGGGAATGTTGCCTCATTAAAACCTTACCAGGAAAAACCCAGTGGGACAAAACCATGGTGAAGGAAAAAGAGTACAACACGCATTACTCCCCCTGATTGTAGCATCACTGCAGATCTCTAAGTCTATACATTCCTATCTGTTTGACGAGCTTCCGGTGTGTTGAAGTAGGCAATGATTTGGTGAAGAGGTCAGCTGAATTCTCACTGGATCGGACCTGCTGAACGCTGAGAGTGCCGTCCTTCTGCCAGTCTGAGGTTGAGAAGAACTTCGGTAGAATGTGCTTCGTCCGATCTCCTTTGATATATCCTTCCTTGAGCTGAGCTATGCATGCCGCGTTGTCTTCATACATCACCGTGGGCTGTGTGTCTTCGTCCATACCATAATCTCTGCGGATGTGCTGAGTCATGGAGCGCAGCCAGACGCATTCCCTACTAGCCTCATGAATGGCTAGGATTTCAGCATGGTTTGATGAAGTGGCAGTGAGTGTCTGCTTCATTGATCTCCAAGAGATGGCTGTTCCTCCATGCGTAAAAACGTAGCCAGTTTGAGACTTGGCAGTGTGCGGATCTGATAGATATCCTGCATCGGCGAAGCCGACTAACCCATCTTTATTTTGGTTAGTATAGAAGAGTCCTAAGTCTTGAGTACCTCGAAGGTATCTTAGGAGATGTTTTATACCGTTCCAGTGCCTCTGAGTTGGGGATGAACTATATCGAGCGAGGAGGTTCACGGCGAAACATATGTCTGGTCTAGTGTGACTAGCCAGGTACATTAACGCTCCTACAGCACTGAGGTATGGCTTTTCAGGACCAAGGATTTCTTCATCATCCTTTTTGGGACCAAGAGGGTCATCACTTAAGCTTCTAACTACCATTGGGCTGGTCAATGGGTGAGCTTGGTCCATATTAAATCGCTTGAGTACCTTTTCGATATAAGCCGATTGATGCACAAGGATTCCTCCTTTGATGTACTCAAGTTGTAATCCCAAACAGTACTTTGTTTTGCCTAGGTCTTTCATTTCGAATTCTGCTTTTAAGCAGTCGACTGTTTGGGAGATCTCACCAGATGTTCCGAGGATGTTTAGATCATCCACGTATACTGCTATGATTACAAATCCTTTGTTTGAGTACTTCTTGATGAAGATGCATGGACTGATGGGGTCATTTTTGTAGCCTTCTTTGATGAGGTAATCGCTGAGGCGGTTGTACCACATACGCCCACTTTGTTTCAGTCCATACAAGGATTTGTTCAGCCTGATGCAGTATTGATCTCGAGATGCATTTTTGTCTTTTAGTTCAATGCCATCTGGGAGTCTCATATATATTTCGTTGTCCAGGGGCCCATAGAGATATGCGGTTACAACATCCATTAACCGCAGATCAAGATTTTCTCTTATGGCCAGACTTATGAGGAATCGGAATGTTGTTACATCCACCACTGGAGAATAAGTCTCCTCATAATCGATTCCGAGTCTCTGTGAGAATCCTTGTGCTACAAGCCGTGCTTTGTATCGAACGACTTCACCGAGTTCGTTCCTTTTGCGCACAAAGACCCATTTGTGGCCCACTGGCTTGATGTGTGATGGGGTCCGGATGATCGGACCGAACACGTTTCTGAGTTTGAGACTCTTTAACTCCACGTTTATGGCTTCTTTCCATTTTAGCCAATCTGTTCGATGTGTACACTGTGTTATTGACGTGGGTTCTAGATCCTCTTGCGTGAGCGCAACATCAAGTGCTACTTTGTATGCAAAGAGTGCATTTAAGTCGACTTCTTTTCGATTCCATTGTATTCCGGACATATTGTAATTGATGGAGATCTCATTGTTATCTTCTGAACCTGGAGATTCGGCGTCCCGAACTTCCATTGAGGGTTCATTAGATTGAGTCTCAGCCGCGGCTATGTCTGATATTGCAGGAATCCCGGTTTCGGTTATTGCACCTTTCTTTGATTTCCGGGGATTCTTATCTTTGGAACCGAGAGGTCTGCCCCGTTTGAGACGTGGTGCAGACTCTGTAGCAACTTGGGTCTGTCCCGTTGGGACAGCTATTCGTACTGGTGCATTACAAGCTAGGATGTACGATTTGGTTACTTTGGTCGGGTCAGCAAAGGAATCTGGCAATTGATTAGCTAGCTTTTGATAATGAATAATCTTTTGGATCTCTGAATCACATTCTAGAGTCCGAGGATCTTGCCAATTTAATGATGTTTGATTCCATGAAAGATCTTTGACCAGCTTGTTTGTCTCACCACCTAAAGAGGGATATACCGATTCATCGAATTGGCAATCCGCATATCTGGCCTTGAAGAGATCTCCAGTGGTTGGCTCGAGATATCTTATGATGGTGGGAGAGTCAAAACCAACATATATTCCCATCCTTCTTTGAAGTCCCATTTTGGTTCGATGTGGTGGAGCAATGGGTACATATACTGAACACCCAAATGTTTTGAGATGGGAGATGTCTGGCTCATGACCCGAGAGTAGTTGGGATGGGGAATATTTGTGTTCACTAGATGGCATGATGCGTATGAGTTCAGCAGCATGTAATACTGCATGTCCCCATGCTGAGGCCGGGAGCTTTGATCTCATGAGTAATGGTCGGGCTATCCATTGAATGCGTTTAATGAATGATTCAGCCAATCCATTTTGAGTATGGACATGTGCTACAGGATGTTCCACGGTTACCCCCATGGCCATACAGTAGTCATTAAACGCTTGTGAGGTAAATTCACCAGCATTGTCAAGGCGGATAGTCTTTAGTGGGAAGTCAGGGAAATGGGCCCGCAATTTTATGATTTGGGCCAAGAACCTAGCGAAGGCTTGGTTCCGAGAGGACAAGAGACAAACATATGACCAACGGGTCGATGCGTCAATAAGGACCATGAAGTACCGGAATGGTCCGGAAGATGGATGTATAGGTCCACAGATATCGCCCTGGATTCTTTCTAGGAAATGAAGTGTTTGTTTAGAGATTTTAACTGGTGAAGGCCGAGTGATCAATTTGCCTTGAGAACAAGCTGTGCACATGAGGTGTTGAGGATAAGCTCGGTTTTCTTTGAGGGTATGCCCTTGAGAGTTTTGAATTAGTTTACGCATCATATTTGCACCGGGATGACCGAGCCGGTCGTGCCAAATAGTATAATCAGTAAACCGGGCTTTGAGAGTGGTATTAGCTTCAATCATACTGACTTTAGCATGGTAAAGTCCAGTAGAGAGCGCGGGTATGGTTTCGAGGATTTGTTTATGGCCGTCTACGGTTTTAGTGACTAGGAGGGATTCTTTGTTCCCTTGACCTTGGGTTTCTATGTGGAAACCATTCTGTCTTATATCCTTGAAGCTCAGAAGATTTCTCTTCGAACTAGGAGAATATAGAGCATCTGGTATTTCAAGTTGTGTGCCATTTGATAGCAACACATAGGCATGGCCATATCCTTCGATAAGGTTTGAGGGACCCGCGATGGTGCTAATATTTGCGGTTTGATAGGTTAGGTTTATGAAGTAATTTTTGTTTCTTAAGATAGTGTGGCTGGATCCACTATCTACGACTATGGTTTCCATTTGCTGGTGTGCTTTTCCACCTTTGGATTTCTGACAGGCTAATGAAACTGGGAGCTAATAGACCTCAGTTAGCCGCTACAAATTCCAAGGATTGATCACCAAAACTGGAGAAACTGCTGGTTGAAGAAGGAAAAACTCGGATCTGGTTTTTTTTTTTTTTTCGGTTGATCGTCGTGTACTGTAAGTGTGCGTGAGGGCGCGTCCGACGTTGGATCGACAAACGGTTTTCACCAGTAGATTCGTCTCGTCGAGGGCTTCGATTTGATATGTAGATCGTCTTCTGGTTCCTCACGGTTTGGAAGATATGCGTGTTTTAAGTTTCGACTTGCTTTTAGGGTTTTGGTGGTGGCCGGATTTATTAGGGTTTTTCGCTCAAAGAGTCTTATCGTGCTGATAACGTGTTGTGAAAACTTCTTAGAAACTTTATTAATCACTGGAATGTATATATAGAGTACATAGGGAATCTAGGTTAAGTACAATGCCCTGATGGGCATAATGGGCCGGTATAAGAGTCCATATATGATATGTGTTATAACACTATTCTAATTTTTGACATTGCACAATTCAATCGCTAGCAATAAGGGATCTTGGTGTTGTATTTCATACAGTTCTGAACTAGAGTTTAGCCCAACCTTGGTTCATTCTCATTATTGGTATCAGATCCGATCTCAGTCCATTAGAGTCCACCTACACGTATATAATAAAATTAACATTTACTAAGCTTCGGAAAATTATAACCAGAAAGAAAAACCAATTTGATTTAGATTAGAGAGTAGACCAATTTTCCTTAACACACTCCATTCTTAAAAAACAAAAAAATCCTTCATCCTCCAAATATAACATAAAATATAATAAAAATCCTCAATCCTCCAGACACTTCATAGGAGCACGCCAAGTCGTGTTCTGGACATGTTCCGACAAAGACATATACTTTCTCCAATCATCAAGAACAAGATTCAGATCATGAAGCTTCTTCTCCAATCCAATGCAACAATTAGCATGCATTGTGCAAACCAAATTTATGTCTCTGCTCGTTTGACAAAACCCACCAAAGTAAACCGTATCAAAGAATCTCATTTGTATTCCAATCTCAGAAATAAATGGCTCGTGTTTGATTCTGTTGAACACATCTTGGTCGTGTAACTCTGGATAGGTCAGGCGAGATTTGTGCCAGAATTTGTAAAACTCGATGCTTCGATTGTTTGATCGCACGTATGTGAAACCTCCATTGACCCAATTGTTTGAATCGAAAGGGTTTCCAAAGAATCTATCACATGCCATTTGAAAATCTCCATCTGGATATAGCCTAGGAAATGGATCTCGCAGCCACATTATGTCTGCGTCCTATAGATTTACATACACAAAGAAATATTGTTTTTAAGTGATTAGTGAAAACCTAAAAAAAGAGATATATATATATATATATATATATATATGTTTTGGCGATTTATACCGTAAATATGAAGTTAAAACCCATCTCAAGAACTTGTGTAAGAAGCTCGATTCTGCGCCACATCATCTTGAGATAATCAGGAGTGTTGTATACTTTCTCGCCGGAGAAATCAGTTTCTGAGGATTCGATGTGATAGCAATTAAGAAGAAGTTGTGAGCATCTTTCAAACGCCTTGGGATCCAAGCAAACCACAACTACATGTTTCAGAAGCTGTTGTGTTCCTTGTCCAATACGAAAACTCTCTAAGAAGAGATCAAACAAAGAGTTTGGTTCTGCCCAAGCTTGATTCAATGTCGTTATAATCACTGTATTGTTCTTCGTCGACGCGTTCTCCAAAATCTCCCTGAAACTAATCTTTCGTTTTGGCTGAAATAACAATGAGATTCAATTCAAGCCCTAAAATAAGCAGACGAAACAGAGCATACCAAAAACAGAGTTTATATCAGATCTGAGAAGTGATGAGAGAAAGAGAGAGTTTACTGTTGTTTCCGGAGAAATCTCTGATGAGTTGAGATTTGGCAATGGTGGAGATGAAGAAGAGAGAAGAGAACTGAGATTGTTGACATCAAGTTGTTGTTGAGGATAAGCTGTTTTGTATAAAATCAGACATGAAGCAGTCAAACCAAGAAACAGAATCAAGATTCTAGTTACTTCCTTTTGTCCGATCACAAATCCTGAATCAAGAAATTTACTACGAGAAGAAGAGGATGAAGAAGCAACGGAGGAAGACGAAGAACTCATTTTTTTCTTCTTTCTTTTGGAAGCCTTTTTCCTTCTTTTATTCTTTTTGGACGTTGTTTTTTGTCGGTAGTTATAATAACGTACGAGTTCAAGCCAAAAGTCATCATTAGCATTTCTTTGTAACAGCAATGTTCATGAATATTTTATTGTTTTGTTTATAATATTTGTAGTCAAGAAAGACTGATTTAAAAAAAAACAAATACAAGTGGTAGAATCGTGTATTGTTATACTATTGTGAGTCATTTAGTTTTTCATCCTTTATGATTTCCTACATTATTTAGAAAATGTTATTTGCCAAACGACACTTTCATGTACATAACGAAAAAAAACTAATCAGAGCTTGACTTGTTTCTAAATATGATTTAAAATCAAAGATAAAGCTAGAAAACTTTACAAGAAAAAGATTGATAACATGTATTAATGTGTGACATTCATGAACTTTTATTTTATTTTTTTCAGATCCGTGTCAAGAGAAAGCTCATAAGATATGCTTATTAATTATTTTATAATTCTTATTGATGAGTATTACTAATAGAAGAAACAATAAGTTGACTAGAATTACTAGACTGATTGTCCACCAGAGTGCAGACGCGTGGGCCTTTCTATTAGTAGTCAGTTAATACTTGATTCTAAAAAGTCGTATTTGTGGCTGCCATGATAGACTTTTTTCTCTTCTCTCGTTAAAAAAAAAAATGTTAAAAAGGATAATTTCCTCAATCTGATTTCACCGCCATAGACCGACTTACTATGTCGGTAATTTCTCTTTATTATATTCATTAATGTTTGCTATAAATATATTTGTTACCTCGTTGTAAACTTTATAAGTTACACAAGTGAAATATAAGAGCTTCCCCTCTCTTCTCTCTATTCCTTCGTTCTTCTCCTTCTTACCCCCATCCAAAACTAAATAATATAATATATAATACATATACACATATAAATATATATATATATTCACTTATATTATATAATACATAAAACGTTATCAGCACGAACCGTTCTTATACCGTTCCTATAACAAAAAAGTGATGTTTAATTTATGTTCAATCCATTTACGTTTATATACTATGGTCGGGATGATAGGCGCTGCCTTCTCCGAACCAATCGTTATGAAAGCTATGCCTTTACGATCATGATCATATGGTAGACTATATCTCCTCAGATCAAATATATGATTGGTTTATGATCATATGGTAGTTGACTCCTCAGATCATTACCTCCATATAATAAATGTCCAGAAGACATTTAAGAGTAGTTCCTGAAGAACTAAGAAAAACATGTTATGTCCAGAAGACATACTTGAAAAAAAAAATATGTCCAGAAGACATATAAAAAAGAATAGTTCCAGAAGAACTATATGAAAAATATATATCCAGAAGATATATAAAAGCGTTCTTGAAGAACTGCATAATTAATTTCATCCAGAAGACGAATATTTATTTTAATTATTGTTCTTTAAATTCTGTTAATTACTGTTATTTAATTTCTGTTTATTATTACTTTACATTCAGTATTTTAAATTCAGTTTTTATTACGTTTATGAATTTTAAAATTTTATCATGTTTTATTAAAATCAGAAATTTTTTTAAAAAACTGGATTATGACCAAATTTATGAATTGTTATATTGATAACAGTTATCATGTCGAATTTGACAAAACTCGAGATTACTGCCCTTGATATTTCTGGAAGAAATTATATGAGATGGGCAGTAGCTGCAAGGATGCATTTAAAAGAAAATGAGCTCCTTGATACCATCGATAAAACAAAAACAGTTTCTGAAGAGAAAAAGGCGAAAGCCATGATCTTTTTATTCCACCATATCCATGATGGTTTAAAAGATGAATATATCACGAAAGAAGATCCTGCAGATCTTTGGCAATCACTCCAAGATAGGTTTGATCACCAGAAATATGTGATCTTACCAAAGGCTAGACATGAGTGGTTGAATCTCCGGTTCCAAGACTATAAGAGCGTTAGTGAGTATAACTCCGCTCTATTTGGAATCACTTCCAGGATAATGTTATGTGGAGAAAATATAAGTGATCATGATATGATTGAGAAAACTCTCTCAACATTTCATCCTGGAAACGTAGTCCTGCAGCAACAATACCGGGCAAACGGATACAAGAAGTATTCGGAGTTAATGCAAGTTCTCTTGGTGGCAGAACAAAATAATGAACTCGTGATTTTAAACCATCAAACTCGTCCAACTGGATCAGCATCATTCCCAGAAGTGAATGTTGCATCGTCAAGCCATGAAAATTGGCAAAGTGGACGTGGACGTGGACGCGGTCGCGGAAATGATCGTGGTCGTGGACGAGGTTTTGGACGTGGTCGAGGTCGTGGACGAGGAAGAAGATTCCGTCTTGCTGATTTAAACGATGGAAGAAATAACAAAAAGTTCAAAGGTAATGAAGTTGGTCACAAGCAACATGAGAATGCTTGCTACAGATGCGGCATGAAAGGACATTGGGTTCGTACCTGTCGTACGCCAAAACATTTAGCCGATCTGTACCGAGAATCGCAAAAGGCGAAAGGAAAAGAAAGTGAAACCAACTTCATCCATGGTGAATCTAGTTTTTCTTTTGATGGTATAAACGATGATACAAATCTCGATATATCTGATTTCATCGTTGATCCCGAAGATATCAACGAAAAACAAAACGAGTAAAATCTTCTCTAAGAAGAAGATGTGACATGATGTATACATAGTGTGAAAAAATAAAAATGTAAAATATAATGTTTAAAAATATACTTTTTGTTGTAAAAAAAGTTTTTATTATAATATAAACTTTTGTTTTGCTATATTAATTTATCTTTTATGAATATCTTAAATTCAGAAAATGTCAAAGATTAAGATCGAGGATGGAGATATATGTCTGGCAGACAGTGCGACAACGCACACAATATTAAAAGATAAAAAGTACTTCTCCTCTCTTAATATGAAAGATTCCGCTGGAAGCGTGAATACAATATCTGGTAATGCAAAAATTATTATAGGCTCCGGAAGAGTCAGTTTTTCAATGCCAAGGGGAACAAAGTTTGAAATAAATGATGCGTTATATTCCCCTGATCTTACAGAAATTTGTTAAGTTTCAAAGATATCCGCAGAAATAGATATCACATAGAAACTATGAATAAGAACGGCATTGAATATGTTTGCATTACATCAGTTATTTCGGAGAGAAAAGTTGTACTGGAAGTATTACCAGCATTATCCTCCAGAATATATTCCACAAAGATAAATATGACTGAATCATATGTTACTGTAAACCCGAAGTTTACAAGTACATTTAAAATCTGGCATGAACGATTAGGGCACCCTGGTTCAGTCATGATTTGGAAAATTGTGGAAAATTCTAATGGCCATCCGTTGAAAAACCAGAAGATTTTTCAATCGGGAGAATTTATGTATAATGCTTGTTCTCAAGGAAAACTTATAACTCGGCCATCACCAGCTAAAATCGGAAATGAATCTCCAGTATTCTTAGAGAGAATACATGGTGATATATGTGGGCCTATTCACCCACCATGCGAGCCATTTCGATATTTTATGATATTAATTGACGCATCCAGTAGATGGTCACATGTGTGTTTATTGACAACACGTAATACGGCTTTCGCTAGATTCATTGCCGAAATAATCAGGTTGAGAGTTCAGTTCCCTGATTATACGATAAAGAAAGTGAGGCTTGATAACGCTGGTGAATTCACTTCCCAAGCTTTTAATGATTATTGTATGTCATTGGGAATTGATGTTGAACATCCTGTTGCACATGTTCACACACAAAACGGCATGGCTGAGTCATTGATTAAACAGTTACAACTCATTGCTAGACCGTTAGTATTGAGAACAAAGCTCCCAATTTCAGTATGGGGTCATGCTATCTTGCATGCAGCGGCATTGCTTCAGATAAGACCGAGTTCATATAATAAATATTCCCCAATACAATTAGCATCTGGCCAGGAGCCAAATGTATCCCACCTGCGTGTGTTCGGGTGTGCGGTTTATGTTCCGATAGCCCCGCCACAAAGATTAAAAATGGGGCCGCAAAGAAGATTGGGAATATATATCGGTTATACGTCACCGAGTATAATTAGGTATCTTGAACCGCAAACTGGTGATATGTTTACGGCACGTTTTGCCGATTGCCATTTTAATGAAGATGAATTTCCAGCGTTAGGGGGAGGAATTAAAGAAGTTCCAAAAGATGTTACATGGTGCACACCATCTTTGTTGCACCTTGATCCCCCTACGAAACAACGTGAACTCGAAGTTCAGAAAATTGTACATTTACAAAATATGGCAAATGAAATACCAGATGCGTTCACAGATACGAAAATGGTGACAAAGTCATATATACCCGCTGCAAATGTTCCATCGAGAATTAATGTTCTGGAAGAACAAAATGATGGAAAAATAGCGAATGAACCCAAAGTTCAGTTAAAGAGGGGAGGCCGATTGGCTCAAAGGATAAAAATCCCCGAAAGAAAAAGAAATTGGGAAAACAAAATGAAAATGGTCCAGAAGAACCACATACAGAGAAATGTCCTGAAGACGAAAAATGACAAAGAAAATCATGAGATTTCCATCAATTACGCCCAAGATGGGATATTATGGGCTAGAGATGAAATATAAGATAATGATGGAATATTCTCATTCTCTGTATGCAAAGAAATTGAATATGAAATTGATGATCCAGATCCAAGGTCCATATTGGAATGCCAGAAAAGATTTGATTGGGAGAAGTGGAAAATGGCCATAGAAACAGAATTGATCTTCCTTAATAAAAGGAAAGTTTTTGGACCTATTTTCACAACACCTAAAGATGTACAGCCGGTTGGGTACAAATGAGTTTTTTGTGAGAAAAAGAAATGAGAAAAATGAGGTGACAAGATATAAAGCCCGACTTGTCGCTCAAGGATTTTCTCAAAGACCGGGAATTGATTATGAAGAAACTTATTCTCCGGTTATGGATGCAATTACATTCAGATTCTTAATGAGTCTTGCGACATCCAAAAATCTTGAAATGTATCTAATGGATGTTGTGACAGCATATTTATATGGATCACTTGATAATGATATTTATATGAAAATCCCAGAAGGATTGAAAATGCCTGAAGCATTAAGTTCCAAATCGAAAGAAATATGTTCGGTCAAGTTACAACGATCACTTTACGGATTAAAACAATCCGGACGCATGTGGTATAATCGCTTAAGCGAATATTTGATAAAGAAAGGGTATGTGAATAATGCAATCTGCCCTTGCGTCTTTATTAAGAAATCTTCGTCAGGATTCGTGATCATTGTTGTTTATGTGGATGACCTGAACATTATCGGAACTCAAAAAGAGATTGATGATGCAAGAACTCACATGAAAGAAGAGTTTGAAATGAAAGATCTTGGAAAGACAAAGTTTTTTCTTGGATTACAAATAGAACATTTCCGAGATTGAGTATTCGTACATCAATCAAATTATACTAAAAGGATATTAAAACGCTTTTGTATGGATAAAGCGACTCCTTTGAGTACTCCAATGGTTAATCGATCTCTCGATACGGAAAAAGATCCGTTTCGACCTTGTGAAGATAACGAAGAAATATTAGGTCCTGAAGTACCTTATATGAGCGCTATTGGTGGACTTATGTATCTTGCGAATTGTACCCGACTGGATATAGCATTTGCTACAAATTTACTGGCAAGATATAGTTCTTCCCCTACGCGCAGACATTGGAATGAAATAAAACATATATTCCGTTATCTTCAAGGAACAATTGACTTGGGATTGTTTTACCCTAGAAACTCCAAACTTGGTTTAGTTGGTTTTGCAGATGCAGGCTATTTATCAGATCCCCATAAAGCGCGATCTCAAACTGGATATGTTTTTACGTTTGGAGGAACCGCAATCTCTTGGCATTCTCAAAAGCAGATATTAGTCGCCACTTCTTCAAATTATGCAGAAACTATTGCGCTTCATAAAGCATGTAGAGAATGCGTTTGGCTCAGATCTATGATTCATCATATACAAGAAACAAGCGGAATAATCATCAACAAAGAGCCGACGAAATTGTTCAAAGATAATGCTGCATATGTCGCTCAACTAAAAGAAGGCTACATTAAGAGTGACAGAACAAAACATATTCCTCCAAGATTTTTTTCTTACACCCAAGAGCTCGAGAAAAATCAAGAAGTCGATATCCAGTATGTTCGTTCAAGTGACAATGCGGCGGACCTCTTTACAAAGGCGTTTCTTACTACAATATTCAGAAAGCATATTCAAAGTATCGGAATGCGTCATTTGCGAGATTTATGAAGAAACGTTATATCCATCATTCCAGGGAGAGATTACGTTACTGTACTCTTTTTTCCTTATCATGGTTTTTATCCCATTAAATTTTTTTATGATAAAGTTTTTAACAAGGCAGTACATAATACATTAAAGATGATGGATAATTAAAGGGGAATGTTAAAAAAGATAATTATTTTCATCTGATTTCACCGTCATAGACTGACTTACTATGTCGGTAACTTCTCTTTATTATATTTATTAATGTTTGCTATAAATATGTTTGTTACCTCGTTGTAAATTTTATAAGTTACACAAGTGAAACATAATAGCTTCCCTTCTCTTCTCTCTATTCCTTCGTTCTTCTCCTTCGTACCCCACCATCCAAAACTAAATAATATAATATATAATATATATACACATATAAACATATATATACTCACTTATATTATATAATACATAAAAAAGAGAGACTCTTTTTCTCTCGTTTCTTTATTTTTTTGTATAAAGTAATTATGACTCAATAGGTGACAAATATTGTAAATATGACACAGTTTTGCAACTATGACTCATGAAAAAAACAAAGGAAAGAGAAGTAGGAGTTTGCGTAAATTGAGTGAATTGGGTATTTTTGGGGTAAAATGTGATTTATAAGCTGAAAATTCAGAAGAGACTAAACTAGAAGTATTTCTTGTATTCTCCCCCAAACTAGTTACAAAGAAAGAAAGCGATACTACCTCTAAACATTACTAAATTGGTTTATATCGACTCTAACTGCAAACATATTGATTTTACAAAATATACATTTATTGTGGCATTACATGATATTTTGGAATTTAACAGCTATCTTTTGTAGTTTGGTGGTATTTATGCTGTACTGAATTTTAGCAAAGCTAGCTAGGGTGCTTTGTTATTAGATCCACTTCAATAATGTTTATTTCCACTACGTTGATATATCATATATTGCAAGGAAATCCCAAAACACCATTACACTACCAAGCATTTGGAACTTTTTAGATTCATTTAGTATAAATTAACATATTACATTTTCTTTGGTTTGAGTACTTTTACATTCATCACAAGAGTCGTATACCCTCAATCCATAGACTTATATTACATACAAATTGTTACACGATATAAATAAAATACCGTCACTATATACTACCTCCAGTGACGACCGCACCTATGACGACGTTTCCATTTAGTCTCTGCCAAAGTCGTATTCCCCGATAAATATTGTTTCCAATCGCGAAGAAGGCCATTAAGATACCTAGTTTTGCTGTTCAAACCCGTGCAACAATTAGAATGCATTGTGTTCACTACGTTAATGTCTTTGCTCGGCTGGCAAAACCCTCCAAAATAAACCGTGTTGAGAAACCTTATC